TTTTGGAATCATAACTTTTTGGTAGCCAGTGCAGCGAGTTATGGTTCTTTTTTTTTGGAACTATAACTTTTTTTGGAATCATAACTTTTTGGTAGCCAGCGCTGCCAGGCATGGTTCTTTTTTGAATTATTTTTTTAGAATCGGAATATATACTAGCTTTTGCTTTGGAATTACAATCTTGTTTGTAGCCAGCGCTGCCAGTTATGGTTCCTTGTTTTTAACTATAGTTTTTTTTGGAATGATTGCCGATGTTTTGCAATGGCAAGAAGCAAAATACTTCAGCCTCCAAGTGAAAGGCCTTGCCTTTCAAACCTTTGTTGTTTGCGTGGTGTAGGGCAAGATGCTTGAGCGAAGCGTTTGTCACCCAACAAAGCCACGGAGCTGATGATAGACTGAAGGCAGAAGTCGCTAGTCACAGGAGAAAAAAGAGACAAGCTGGCTCACACAGACTCACAGATGGCCGTGCGCCATGCGCAGTTTGTTGAGCCCAGGGTTTGCTTGATTGGTATGTATGTTTGCATTTTCCTGCAAGTTCCTAGTATTTGTACAATGTTTCCTGAGTCCAAACTTCTGGATTCACCTTGCTGGTATCTTTCTGCGGGATTGTAGGTTTTGTTTTTTGGTGTCTTTTCAAAAAACTTATAAATCTTTTTCAAACAAAACTTTGGCTATAAACCCTGACCTGTGAAATTCTACAGTCTGGGACCCGTGTAACCGTACCTGCCCAACTGGTTACCTGTTGTTCTCGCTGTGGTTTGTTTTCATGGTGGTTCATGTGGTTCTGTTACTAATCGCAACTCGCGTTTCGTGTTTTGAGCCTTGCTGGCCTCCAACCTTGCAGCAAGGGCCTCCCCTTTCTGACACCTGTCCTGGTTCCTTAGGATGTTCACTTAGGCCGCCGTGTGGCAACCGCAACCGAATCAGTACGCATGTCAATAAGTGTGTGTGAGTTCATGTAAGTGAGGTTGGTGTTTTTGTGAGAGTGTTTTTGTATGCACGGTAGGAGCGCGGGAGGCGGCAGGAGGAATCGGGAAGACCCGAGCAAAAGCCAGAACCGTCTTAGACGTCATTAGCATGTGGGGTAATTGTAGAGGAGCTTCCTTTCTCATGGCGCTTGAACCCGCCTTTTCCTTAAGGACTTGGGTCTTGCACATCAGCTGTAAAGCTTGTTAAAGCTTGCAAATCATGTTTTGGGGAGTGCCTTTGTTGCGCCAAGCTTCCCTTCAGCCAACTCAGATATGGGTGCAAGGACCGGGACACTCAATGCTCTGGCATAGAGCGTGTCCAGCGGAAAGTCTTGCCAGCTCAAACTGACCTCGGTCGCTTGCTGAATGGTCACGCAGCCCCAAAACGCTGCAGAGTGTGGCCGGAAAAAGACGCTAAGAAACTACGCTGAACAACATCAGCCTACCCCCTTTTGCTTCAGTGTTTCCAAAAGCACAATCCAAGTCTTGAAGTGCCATCACTGCGGCTACGTGGCATGCACCTTCCAGAGGCCTTCTGTGACACGGGAGTGGAAAGGAAAGGAAGCTTCAAGCAAGAAAAGAAAGGTAGACAGAAAGAAAAAGCATCAGAACTGCCATGGATCCGAACTAAGAAGTCATTGGAGCAGCCAGTGGTTGAGCTACCGACCTCCCGCAACCGAGGTCATTCATGTTTTCAGTGAGCACAGTCGCCGACTCACCCCTGCTACCTTATTTTGTGCTTTTAATCTGCTCCGACTTAATTAAGTAGACTACATACTTAATTAAGTAAGGGACAAACTTGTTCGCTACTAGCTACTTAAGCTACTACATGCTGCATCATGCTACTACATATGGACGCAGGATAGCTCACGGTCGCACTAATGATTTGGTTCCTAGATTTTTGGGAAAACTTAGTGCAAAGTTTGGCCGACCAAGCTCTTGTCATCAACTTCCCAGCCACTACAGTGTAGGACGTGACCTGTTTCCAAGCGCACCCTCTGGCGTATGAAAGCTTCCGGCAACGTGGCACGGAGCACATGACATCACCCGTCTAAGATGCGGTTGCATCAGCATAACGTTCTCACGGTGTTCTCCTGTTCCGAGTCACTGTTCCTTTCGTGCGTCTTCTTCCTGCATGTGAGTTGTCAGAACTAGGAGAACCTTACGGACCAAAGACACATGTTTCATTGAATCACTTTTCGGACAAAGCAGCTGCCAAGCAGCAGGAAATTACTGATAAAATTGGATCACTTCTGCCCCGAGGCACATGCCACATGACCTATGAGCAGAGCACATGGACATGGCACCCCAAATGGATATCTTCACATCTCTCCGGCGATTAACAACTCAGGGTTATTTGTTTGAGACTTACAAGTGGGTACGTGGCTGGCTTGGGGCAGACAAAAGCATCGTTGGCAAAAACCTATTTCAGAAGGTGTCCAGCAAAAGACATTCAGAGGAATTCCTATTTGGGGTGGAAACAAAAGGCACTGTGGCCGAAAACACTTGAAGGGATTCTTGAAACACTGACTCATCGCCTTGTCCACAGACATTTCAACAAGAATCTTTTTCTTGGTGGATGAGTATAAAGCTCTATGCCATATTGCCATATGCCCGTTATGCAATTTCGCACTTTGCAAAACACTGGGTCCATTGGCGCACACAGCCACATGGAGTTCGGCTTTCGTGTCACGCCATCTCTCTTCGAACGGCCGAGTGACCCAGTCGTCGAGCCAGGTTTGGGCAAAAAGAAGAAGTTCTTGTTGGAGGCCAGGTTCTTGTTGTTTGTAGAATTTTGAGGAAGTGATCTATGAGCTCAAGAAAGTAGCTTGCCAGTAAGGGATAGCTATTCTTACTGAGCAAAGCTAACGCCGCGACCAGTTTGGGACGCCGGCCAGGGCTCAGGCTTAATGATTTTTCCTACAGCACGCATGTCCTCGGCGAGAGCACTGGATCGCAGCTGAAAAGGCACGGTCCAAAAAGAGCAACTAGCTACTCAAGCCAACCTAGTAGCGATGGCCTCCAACCTAAGAGCGATGGCGTCCAACCCAAGAGCAATGGCCTCTAACCTAAAGGCGATGGCCTCCAACCTGATAGCGATGGCCTCCAACCCAAGAGCGATGGCGTCCAACCTGATAGCGATGACCTAACCGAAGAGCGATGGCCTCCAACCTCATAGCGATGGCCTCCAACCTAAAAGCGACGGCGTCCAACCTAAGAGCAATCGCCTCCAACCTAAGAGCGATGGCCTCCAACCTCATAGCGATGGCCTCCAACCTAAGAGCGAAGGCCTCCAACCTGATAGC